AAACCTCCATACCGCTGTCTAGAGTAGTTGAACAAGTTTACACTCCCAACAACAGTGCAGTAACATTTCCTTTTGGCCACATCCCCTCCAGCATCTGTTGTTATTAGATTTCTTGATTAAAGTCATTCTAACTGGGATGAGGTGGAATATCAATTTTTTGATTTGCATTTCTTTTATGGCCAGAGATGTTAAGCATTTCTTCATGTGTCTATTGGCTATTCTTATTTCTCTTCAGAGAAGTCTCTATTAAGTCTTTAGTCCACTTATTAATGGAGAAGTTGTTTCTTGGAGGATTTTTTTGGGGAGATTTAATTTTTTTGAACTCTAAGTATATTTTAGATATGAGCCCCTTGTCTGTTATAAATATTTATGATATATAAATATCTAGGATAACCCTAGCAGATGAGCAGAATATCTCAATAGCTATGTACATATGACCATATAAGATGATGCTAAGAGAAATGAACTCCAAGACATGGACACAAGAGGATTTAGTTTGTTGCTGTTTTTAATGTATTGTGTAATTGCTTGTTTCTTTTGTATGTTCTTCTCACTATAGTATATCCCCTGTTGTCACTGTATTTAATTTTGGTACCCTAGTATTGTATATACATTTATTTGAATTAAGGAAGGGAAGGGGAACAACAGAATGGTAACAGAAAGGACAAGGGAAAATCATTGTAACAGCGATATTCACGAGACCATATGTTGGAAATGATCTGTACAACTTGGGGGGGGGAGGGAAAGTGGGAGAAAAATGAGGGAAGGGGTAACAAGTTTGACAAGAAATGTACTTAGGAGGAGGCAACAATGCTTGATAAGAAATGTACTCATTAGGGGCTGGGAAGGTAGCTCAGTGGTAGAGCGCATGCCTTGCATGCCAGAGGCCCTGGGTTCGATTACTCAGCACCACATAAGCAAAAAGAAAAAAGCCGGAAGTGGCGCTGTGGCTCAAGTGATAGAGCGCTAGCCTTGAGCTGAAGAGCTGAGGGACAGCGCCCAGGCCCAGAGTCCAGGCCCCATGACCGGACCCAAAAAAAAAAAAAAAAAGAAATGTACTCATTATCTTGCCCATGTAATTGTAACTCCTCTGTATGGTATTTTCAAAATTAAAAAAAAGGAAAAAAAAAGAAATGTATTTATTACCTTACTTATGTAACTGTAACACCCACCCCCCATACACCACCTTGAGTTATACATACTGCTTCTCCGTAGTGTGATTCTGAACTTCCTAGTCAGATTGATGTAATTCTTTACTTATTCCTAGTCATCCCTTAAACTAAAGTCTGAGAAATTTCAAACAAGGTTCTATAGCTCCCATTTCATCAATGTCTAACTCATTACTTCCAGTGTATATATCAGTACATGCCTAAAGATCTTAGAAACACATAAAGCAGAACATATAGAGAATAAAACATACAAAGCAGAAACAGTTTCAAAGCTCTGACAAAAATTATAATGTGTGCATATGTTGACTCAGCGTAAAAGTTAATTCCCACACAATTCAGATAATGAACCAAGGTATTCATTGATATCCATTTTGTATTTTTAATCTACCACCTAACAACAGATTTTGAACTAGTTATTAGAAATCTCAGTAATATATAAAGACGTACTTAGAAAGAAAAAAAATTGGAGATCACCTCCCTCTCCCTCAAGAATATTTTCTAAACCATTCTGGTTTCATTTTTCTCACTTTTTCAGTTTTATAAAATGGTGGTATTAAATGCCAATGAGGCAATATTTAGTCTAACCTGAGGTGCTTACAAGAGGGTAATTACTTGGCACTTGAATAGTATGTAAGTGTCCAACCTCTAGGTGAATCACTCTTTTGCCAAACATAGCATTTATTTATTATTGCTAAATGTTAAAAATATATGAGAAGCATTAAAAAAAAGTGGGTCCTTTTTCCCCCTTTCGCAATCAAGTCTAGTTTATTTTGGAAGAGAGAAAAAATTCAGTCATGGTTGGATTGGGTAAAGGAAAAAAAAAAAGAATATGATAATGCTGGGCAAGCCAAGGAAGCAGGAGGTTGTGTTGGAACTACGAAACAGGAGTTTCTTGTGGCTGTCTGAAAAAGCATGGCATAGACAACTTCCCAAATTAGTAATAAGCTTTTAGTTTTACTTATTTAACTCTGGTCTACGCACGAGCGTGTGCGCGCGTGTGTGTATGTAGACAGAATTCAATTTAATGAAGACTTGTTTCTTCTCTATCTTCTGTTCAATGATTTATATTGTTTGGGAGCTTTAAAATATGTTAATTTAGTCAATGGTGAAGTAAGCCAGGCCCAAAGAAACATAGGTCCCATGCTTTCCCTTACCTGCAATAATTAGTATATGTCTGGGACAAGCAGAAAAGGTGAAAAAGCTATGTACATATGACCAAATAAGATGATGTTAAGTGAAATGAACCCAAAGATAAGGCCACAAGTGTTTTTTATTTTCCTTTCTTGCTGTTGATCCTAATGTATTTATAAAGTACCACGTGATTTTTATGTTTCTTTGTATGTTCCTCCCCCACAGTATAACCCCTGTTTTCACTGTATTTGATGTCAGTGCCCTGAGTCTTTTATAAACACTTCTCTAGCTTGGGAAGGCAAAGGGGAAAAATAAAATGCTTAAATAGGGATACCTATTCTAACAATGAGATGTACAAGATGCTATGTTGAAAAACAAACTTTACAATGTTGGCGTGGGGGGGGAGGGGTGTAGCTGTGGAGGTGGGAGGGAAGGGATGGTAGGGGAAAAACAAAGGAGGAGAAGGAGGTAACAATGCTTGATAGGAAATGTACTCATTATTTTGTACTCATGTAGATGTAACCCCTCTGTACAGTAATTTTACAATAAAAAACATATTTAAAAAAATAAAAACACATTAAGTATGGCAAAAAAGAAAAAAATTAAGGACAAAATGAGCATAATCAATGAAGTTAAAGTTAACAAAGATCTTTTTATGCTATAATTTTAATAGTTGTAGAATCATACAAGTGCTGTTGAAATAAACTTTTAAGCAACTAGCAGGGAAAACATTGATTGGGAAAAATAATATTATCTAAAAAAATGTATCATGAGAAAGAGTCCTATTGAAAGCAAACTGCAAAAATTGGCAGGTGGTATGAATGATTTTATGTTATAATTAAAAACAAAAGTACTCCCATAATAATTTGTATTTGGCATTAAATTACTAGGCATAATTGTAGAATTTTTTTCTACAATCATGTAATTATTTGGGTGAGTTTAAGGGGTCATTCAACTGAGAGTAGCTGAACACATAAGGAAGACAATTTGTAATTAATAGTGTGTGCTTTTCAGAAGAAGCAAATCATAATAGAAAATGAATATTGTCAATATTTCAACCTCATACATGAAGATTTTGTCCATATTAAAGCCTGCATTTATTGTCTCAAATGGTAGCATCCTTTCCTATCAAGTGTGAGGTCCTGAGTTCAAGTACTACTGTCACAAAAAAGTGTAAATTTGAATAGATGTCAATTTTATAACTTAAAGTAAAGATAACTTTAGCTCCATTTTTCATGACCTAACTCTTGATGATTTATGGCAGAGATATTATGTGAACTCTGAAAACTGGCTTAATCATTACTTATTAATACTAAATCAGGATTATGTGTAGAAATATATTGTCTATAATTTTTGGCTATGTCTGACTTGAGAATTTTTATCCACTAATTATATATCAAACCTACTTGGAAGCTTCTGTGTACTCTTAGCACACTTCAACTTTACTACATTAGCACAGGAATAGTCTTTGCATGTACAAAATAAGATTGATATAGTCTCTGGCCATATTGAGGTTATCAGTCCTGATATTAAGAAATTCTTGTTAATAAAACTTGCTCAAGTGTGTGTGTAATTTTTACAAGATTATATGTATATATATATATATAGTCTTGAAGAATAATAAGGTATATACATGTACAATTGTGTGCATACAATTGTGTCTCTGTGGAAATGTCTCATATGAACATATAGTTCAAGACTTAATATTAAAAAATTATTAGGATCTCAGGTAAAATAAATACATGCAAAAGATTTTCCCTCGAAGTCTTTCTTCAGTTTTTGAATTGTGACTTACGGCACAAATTAGGCTAGATAAATGTAAATCTCCCTTATGCTAAGCCAAGAGTGACACTTCTGTAGCTGATTAAGCTAACACAATTAATGACATGTGATATTCTAAAAATAACTGAGCTTCAAATGTAGTATAAAAACAATTGGGATGGATAAGCTTACCTATGAAGAATTATCTTTTAAATCAGAAAACAAATGCTCTTCATTTCTGTTAGGTAAGCATGTTGTTAACTGAGTGTGTGGTCTAGAATAGATGCTTGACTCTCAGTGCTACCTTCTGGTTTTGTTCTTGTCTCAGAGTTTGCTCTCAGCAATGTGTGTATTTATCTCTTTCAAGTCTTTAACTCCCTGTAGTATTCTATATATGCTTTCTCTTAGGAAATTTGTGTTATTAAAATGTACACAATGACACACAGAACACACAGGAATCTACACAAAGGCTAAACAATCATACGTAATATTAGCATTCAAGCAAACTATTTTGAATGCACCTTGCTATAAGTGTTAAAAAATGAATAGTTAGACCTTTTTAGTTTTTAACAGCCAGTTATTTGCTTAATCCATGCTTCTGTCTATGTAGTATGAAGCTTATAAACACTTCTAGCACTAGACTAGGATTCAAACATTCAATAAAGCACATTTACTGTGACTAAGATTAAATCATACATTGTTTAAAATTAATTATTCCTTTTTAATTAGATTGTATAAACAGAAATGACCTATTAATTTAAAGAAAATCTATCAGCACAAAATGAATTCACTCTTATAAACAAGCAAGATGAACTTGACCTTGTTTGAACTTGTTTTGATGTGGCCCAGATGGTAGGCTACATGCTTGAATAGCAGGCTAAAGCTGAGGAAAAACTCATATAGCAAGATCTAGATTTATAGCCTTCTGCAAATTCCTACCTTGTATTGTCCTTTCTGCATCTGTTCTACCGCCGCTGCGGTCAGCTTCTATCTCTGGGGTCAGAGAGTCTAAAAGCACAAAAACGTACAAGTGACATATATTTCATTTGATTCTTATTGTCCTTTTTTTTTTTTAAAGAGCAACCTGTTAACTTGGATGCTGAACTAAAATCACATAAATCTTTGTCATTTTTTAAAGGTTGAACAGAAACTATAGCTGTAAGAATTTTCAAGAGATTGGAACAGATGAGGAATGTGATATTGTCCCCTAAGATTAAAAACGAGTGGAATGTCTTAGATTAATATTTTATCATGTTTCAGTAGAAAAAGATTTGGTTAAGCACAAAAGCCAATACCAGGTCCCAGAGATGGGTTAAATAACAAAAGGTAGAAGCACTTATGCAATAAAGCATTTCTCCAACACCTTCTTCTTGACACGTACATGTTCAGGTATAAGCATAGATGAATGAATTACAAGTTACAAAAATATAAAAGAGGAAACATATGTCTAAATCGCCCTTTGAGTTTTAAAAATCAGCGTTGGCCATGCAGAAGCATATACATTCTTACCATTAAGGACCCTGAGACTGTCCGTGGACGCTGCCTGTTTTAGTGTCTGTTCCGCTTGCTCACGCCGTTTTGTCTCAAATTCAAGTGCTTCCTGCAATTTTCTCTTTGCCTTCTTTTCCTTCTTTAGTCTTTTTTGAACAATAGCTAGAAAAGAGTGTACGCACATTACTTTAAAAAAACATGTTGTAATATTGCTGCTAATTTATAAATTTTCTGTATTTTTCGTTTTAATCAGTATGTTTTGCCTGATGGGTTGAATCTAACATGTAAAATGGAAGTTCAAAAACCAACTTTACCTAAAAAATTTCCCAAGAAACAATTTTTATTTTAGCTTTGAACTATTATGCTACAAGAATGATTTTAAATGTCCTATGTAGAGATAAATCTAATGGGGTGCTAATTTTAATACATATTTGTGTGTAGTGATAAAGGAAGCTTAATTAAATATATTTTATGGCTTACTTCTAAGACTTTGAATAAGAATAGTGTAGAGTGGATTGAATAGTGAAAACCCAGTTTTTATTAACTGGTCTTCCATTTCCTGATGCATTTTCCCCAAAATTGCTGGATTAAAAAGTTTTATACAAACTACTTTTGCAACAACATTTTTGGAAATTTAGAAAACATAATAAATGTCTTTATAAAAGGAACAAAGTACTATTATTATCAGGATATACCTATATGTTGATACATACATATAATTTAGATAAATTATACTCTCAGAGAATAATTTCTCCATAGTAAATGTGTAGCACTATATTTCAAGAAAGTGGTTACATTTTCTCTTTTCATGCACCTATCTGGTGGATTCTACAACCTCACTGTTAATTATAATATACTTAATAATGTGTTTTATATAATAAGTAGGTATTGATAAAAAGGCAGGTGATTAGTATACATTTGTTTTCATATATATATGCACACAAAAATAAATTTTTTTCTCAAAATTTGTTTTAACCCTACTGATGTTATACCTAAACCATAACTTTGTCTATACAAATATTTAATAACTCATTATCACAAAGGAAACACATGAATTTTTATTTGAAATTATTTTTATAATTTGCGAATTTTATGAAAATGATCAATATTATTGATATGACAAAAGCAACAAGAGAAACTTTATCATGAGTAATAATTGCAAGAACAGTGTTTGCTTCTTTACTACTACTAAATAAAAATACCATTTCATAAAAATACAAAGTCATAATTTAAGAATTTTAGTTTCAGTTTCTAATCTGTACATATATTATTGCTTTGGGTTTTTTTTATCATCCCTAATGTTGTTAGTTAGCAATGCTACTATTGTCACCCCTGGTAAATGGCACTTCACTAGCTTCTCGAGTTTTTCATTGCTGTATCTTGTATCTTCAAAATTCATTTACCAAAGTTACACTGAATATAGTAAGAAAATCAACTCAAGCATTTCATATAAATGCTAACTTCCTTTTATTTAATAGTGTAAGAATCATGCTTAACAAAATTACTTTCTCACATTCCTTTCCAAATGTGACCATGTCTTTTTAGAAAGAGGCAGTAATTCTTGATTCCTACATTATCCATTCCTATAATACTAAAACTCGTTCCCCAGCATCCTGCCATTGCCCTCTCGTTGTCTATGTCTTATGTGATTGAACCAAGTAAGGCTTTCATGTGCTCTTTAAGAAGTACTACCCTTCTTCAATAGACATATTCACAAGAGGTAAATATTCATCATTATAACCTTAAAATTTCCATTCATAACTAATTAAATGGGAAGTTCATGGTTTGGTCTATGAATGTTTTGCCCTCTAGTGGTTAAAGGAATGAAACAGAATGTAAAACTTCATGTGTTGCAACCAATAAAATTCTGAAGATCTTTCATGTATGCATAGCATTATTTTAGAAATAAAATAATCTGTCTTTCAGCCTTATAAAAAGAAGAAGAACTAAAAACAACAAGAATTCCCCTGGTAGAATAAAGTTAAGATATGACTATTAAATGATTGATGGCTCTACAGAATGAACCCTTTACACCAAATATGAAACTCACTTGAAATGCACCCTTTATCAATGTTTATCTTGCTTTAATTATTTTAATAGGTGAAAGTTATATTGCTAAGAACCATGAAATACAAGGTTCTCTTAAATCAGGATTATATCAGGAACCCCTTACCTAGTGCCCCATGATACTAATGAAATGATCAGTTAAGTCCTCCTATTGTTTCAAAAGCAAAGCAAAAGCAATGATCTTGAAATGACCATCTCAAAAATATAAAAGAAGAATGTGTGAAACATGAATACTAGGTACCTATTCAATGAGAGAAAAATGATTTTCTTCTTTGCTAGAACTTCAGGAGAATCTTATCTTTGAGGAAAAGGAAATGGTGGAGTGGGGGGAGGTGATGTTGGCTGTAAATACTCCTCAAATTCATAAGTAAAAGAAGCATAAATTGAATGCCTTCAAGCTAATTTATAGTTGTTTTGTACAATGTGATAAAAGACATGATTCACTTATCAATAATATCATTACGTTTACCCAATAAGAACTTATATAGGTTTCTACTATATGGACTTGACCTTGTTGAATGAAAATGAAGCACTGAGAAAGAAAATTATATAAACACTTAAGTTTACTCATTTGCTCAGATATTCATCAGCTTTCAATAGCAGTTGATAAATATCTCACTAAACCTGCTTCACTTCAATAATCTATATTTTCTATTTTATCTTTATATCTTCAACTCCAGTTTTTTAAAGGGCAATTGTGAATGAGTATAAAATTTTTCTTCATGGCAGTCTTCTTATCAAAGCTCAAACTTAAATAATAAGAAATTGCTGTGAATTATAGGCAATAAAAGTAAATGATCAATGATACTTCTTGAAGTAGTAACAGAAAAGAAAATACATGCTGTGACAATAATACAGTAAGCACAAGATTCAAATTTTCTCTTAAATTTTACTTAATATGCAAGTTAACAAAAAGCCACAGAAAAAATAAAACATCCAACATCACATGTATTATTGTGTCGACTATGTAAGAGTGTTCGAGTTCTTTAGAATTTCAAAAATACCTCTATTCTTTTGCTCCATAGCCAGCTGCTTCTCAAGTGTTTCTCTTAGTTCTCGTTCCCTTAAAAAATCCATCTTCAGCTCCGTTTTTTCCAGTTGAACCTGTTTTTCCTGAGCTCTGGCATTATCTATGGCCACTTTCAATAGCCCCTGCACAAAGACAGTATTCAAAATGGTTATATTTTGGTTCAAAGCACATTTCAATCATCACTTAAATTTAAAAGAGTAAACCCTATTTACCAGATCCTTCAGTTCTTGTGCGTTCACCCAGCATTCACTAAGACAAGTACTAAAACTAAAGAACAGAACTTCTAAACCCAATTAAACTATTTTAGGAAGTCAAATATTTATGGCATGTAGATTCCACTGTTTCTAACTGGAATGTCAGCCCCAAAACTAAATGAGGGAAGGACCAAACTTTGTCTTAAATTCCACTACTCCAGAAGTAGTGCTCTGGCATAGCTGAGAATATCTATATGAAGCTAGTGGTCTCCCAATTGTCTTGTAGCTCAATTTCCCACTTCATACCAAGATTACACTACACTACTGCATGGTAAAAACTTACATTCTTTGTGTTCCCCCAAGAATTTGTGTTGCCCCCAAGAATTTTGTTCTTACTCTTCCCCCCACAAATGCTTTTCCTTCAGGTCTCTGCATGACTCAAATCCTCATTTAATGTCATCTTTGCCTAAAGTTCCCATTCAGGATAATCCTTCTTACCATTAAATTTGAAATAGCTCTCAGCTGCATCTTGTTATTCCTGCATTAAAAGTCTTTGTATCACTTATGATAATGTAGTACTATCAAATATTAATTTATTTACTGATTTATATTGTGTCTCTTCACCTAAAATCTCTGAGCCAGGTGTGATAATCTCTCTTGTTCCTCCTGAAGGCTCCAGAGCCTAGAAGGTGCCTAGCATATACAGGACTTACATTTTTTCATAAACAGAAATCATATTAGTAAAATATAGCATATTTAGTGGGTTCCAAGCATAATAGCTGAGTACCACATTATTTTTTAAGTCATACAAAATGGTTGCAATAGTAGGAGTATAACTTTAAGATACTATTTAATAGTGTAATAATTCAAGAGTGCATATAGTGAAAAATGTCTGTTTTTGCAACTAATCTACATATTAAATTGACTTTAAATATCTGGAAGTAATTTAAGATATTTGAAAAAGAGGCTATCAAAACATGTTAAACATAATAATAGTATATTTCTTGGCTAACATTCTTTATGCTACAATGACTAGTAAAAATTAGAAATGAATTTTTTGTCTTTGTCAATCAACACCACAAAATGCTACCTTCCATAGAAGGTATTGTGTCTAGGTCTGTGACTATTACAGACTGAAATTTTCCATTAGAATTATATATGAGATAGAAATAGATACAATTGGTAGGTTAAATCAAAGATATAATCCTTTTGCACAAGTCAAGGGAGCAGTCTGAATCAGGGGTTTCAACTGTAGCCTGACACTGATACCGAACAAAGGTGTAGCCTTAACTTCAGCAGAACAATGTAGCATTTTGCATTTCCATAGGTACTTTTTAAAATTTTCTATAAACACATCCGTATTATTTCACGTCTGTTTTACCTGACATTGAATACCCTGGTACAATCCTTATGATACGAAACTAGATGGAGAAGGATTTTTATGTGGCAGTGTACCCCTCCCCAATCTTTTGTTGTTTAACAATAAAGCATAGCTGTGAATGTAAGGGAATTGCCATCTTAACTCAATTTAGCAACATTCTTGTATATGTTTCTTCTTCATCAGGAACAAACAATTAGTAACAAATGAAAGAGATCATTACATCAAGTGCCCTTTTAGATCACCCCAATTAAAACTTTAGTTTAGCTGTATTTTAATTCTAAGATACCAAATTCTAATTTTCTGCTCTGATTGCTCTTGTTGACTTATCTTTGAAAGATGTACTCTCCATGCAATGTCTAGAGATTATTTAGCAAGATGCCAATGTTGGCACCACTTAATGTGTTGATTGGTTGTATTATCAGTAGCTGTTTAAAATAAATTACTATTAAACTATTATTGTCCTTGGATGACAAAACACAATATTTTGGTGTTCTTTAAACATGAAACAATCATTATGAATAAACAAATTGAATAATGCTAAACTGTATCACTCATTGTATGATAGGAATTTTAATTTATAAAGAACATAGTTGCTAAGAGCATTTTTGTTTACTATTATTTTTACAGTTTTTTCTAATGTGGAAAATGGCAATGCATTTCTTTCTTTCTTTTTTTTTTTTTGCTTAAGCCTGAAATCATTACCTTGTAGAATCCTATACCTTTTAGGGACTACTTATAAGTTTATAAAATTAAAGTTTTAGACTTTAAGTCAGTGTATATCAGTAAGAGTTTAATATGAACAAGATACAAATGCAAAAGGACAGTTCTGCAACAAAAAAATCAAGAAACTGATTAAAGTTCAGTGTAATAGGGGACTGGGAAAAACAATAGAGGGAAGTGAACGCAAGACCACCACACCATGAGGACATAGTTTTAACCAGCAATGATTCTAATGGTTACAAATTTGTGTTGCTTCTATAAATTTTCCAGGTAGATGGCCTGCAAAAGACCACACAAATGCTGGTTCTCATTTTAGAGAGGCAATATCTAACAAAATGCTGGGTTGAATTACTCTTAAAAACAAAGTTTAAAACATGAATTTGTCTCGAAGAGAAGTTTAGTTCTAGGGATGCTAAAGTTGAATAGTGACAGTTTCGAAGACATAAATTTTATGCTAATTCTGGTACCTAGCAATGACAAGAAGCAATGGCTGTTGGCCTCAAATTTACTTTGCATAAGTGTTGCATGGTGGTTATAGTAATATTCAATTGTTTAATTTTCCCCCATGGTCCAGCTTATAAGTGAAATTATTTTTATTCTTTCTTTTTTTCCCAGAGAATAAGCCTATACTCAATGTATATTCGATGAAACTAGAAAGGCTGAGGGATGGGTGATTGGAAAGTGTGGGGGAATCTGATGAAAGGGGCAATCAAAATGCATTGTACTCATAAACTGCCATGTTCAATTGTAACCCCTCTGTATGACTAGTTAAGAAGAATAAAAATGTAATTTATGCAAGTGTATTAACTAGAGAATGGTAGATTTAGGGGAGAACTCAATGGTGTAAGTCATTAGAAAGGCTAATAGTCTGACAAAATGACCACCAAGAATTGGTACTCAAAAAGGGAGGATGGTATCAAGGATAGGAGGCACATGAATGAGGAAAGAAAGAGAGGAGAATGCAGTCAGAGAATTTAATGCATATCCTACAAAATTAAGAAAATTGAAAGAAGAGATGGGTAGGGGAAGGATGAGGGAAAATGATGAAAAGGTGACAATGATCAAGATGCATTGTGTTCATGAACTACTTTGTTTCATGGCAACTGCTTTGTAAAACTACTTTAAGAAAGGAGAGAGAGAAACAGACAGAGAGAAAGAGAGAGAGAGAGAGAGAGAGAGGAAAAAAGAACAAAGCTGAAACAGAAAATTATGTGTGTGAGGGATTCACAGCAAATAGTCTAGTAATGGGACTACCACCTCCTACGTTTAGAAAGTAGAAATAGCTACTTGCATAAGATAACTCCAAGTAATATTATGAAAGAAAAGGTGTTAACATGCTAGTTACATCCAAGAGTAAAAGGTTATTTGGCTTAAGGAAGCTTTTGTATTTTATGCAAGTTTGTTTTCGAATCACTTGTTCAATAAAATTCCTTGATATACCAGCACAACTATGTTTATTGCAGCAGTATTTACCATAGCTAAGATATGGAACCAACCCAGATGCCCCTCAGTAGATGAATGGATCAAGAAAATGTGGTATATATACAAAATGGAATTCTATGCCTCCATTAGAAAGAATGACATTGCCCCATTTGTTAGGAAATGGAAAGACTTAGAAAAATTATATTAAGTGAAGTAAGCCAGGCCCAAAGAAACATAGGTCCCATGATTTCCCTTATTTGCAATAAATAGTATAAGTCTAGAACAAGCAGAAAAGGTCAAAAAATATGTACATATGACCAGATAAGATGATGCTAAGGGAAATGAACCCCAAGATAGGGACACAGTGGCTTTTTCTTTCTTGCTATTGTTTTTAACGTATCTAAAATGTACCATGTGATTTTTTGTTTCTCTTGTATGTTCATTCCCCATGTATAACCTCTGTTTTCACTGCATTTGATGTCAGTGCCCTGCATCTTGTATATACATTTTTCTAATTTTGGGAGGGGAAGGGAAATAACAAAATGCTGAAATAATGATACAGGTTGACCCATTGTAACAATGAGATGTGCAAAACACTATGTTGAAAATGAACTTTACAACTTGGGTGGAGAGAGGGAGGAGTAGGAGAGGTGGGGAGGGAAGTGATGGTAGGGGAAAAACAAAGGAGGAGGTAACAATGCTCAATAGGAAATGTATTCATTACCTTGCTCATAGAACTGTAACTCCTGTGTACAGTATTTTTACAATAAAAAAACATAAAAATTTGTGCTCAATAATACACTGATGAAAGTGTGTATAAAGCTGTGGTCCAAAAACGACTTTAGTAACTATTCATTCTGATGAAATTAGGTGAATTATCCAATATCCCATATTGTGAGCTGAGAAAGACTAACTCACAACTTCATCTACTTAAACTTTTTTTTCCCCTTTCACTATTTCCCTGTGTCTTTGAAGAATGAGAAGGAATAATGTCCCTTGGAACTAGGGCTTTGTAGACTAAGGAAAATTAGAATCACAGATAGAATCAGCTGATACATTATCATAGAAGCTTATAAAAAGTAAGGTAAAACTACCCTGTCTAATTTTACAGTTATTAATCTCTAAACTTTTCATATCATTAATCAATATAAAATTGTTCCTTTGCTGTGACTTTATTGTCATTTTACATTTGTAAAAATAATTCAATGTCAAGAAAGAGCTGTATAGCTAAAATAGCTAACAAAAACCTGATGTTCAATTTTTATATGTAAATATAATAATTTTCTACAAGTCTTGCTTGTGTGGGGGGGGGCTTGAACTCAGGGCCTCACATTCTAGCTCAACTTTCTTGCTCACAGAAGGTGCTCTGTCTTGCCTAAATCCAGATATTTGCTGGTTAATTTGTAGATAGAATTTTTTGAACTTTTCTCTCTCTCTGGGCTAGCTTCAAACCACAATCCTCTAAGTCTCTGCTTCTTAGATTATTAGGATTACGTATAAGCCTGACACCCAGTTTACATGTACTATTTCAAAGCTGAAAGAAATGACTTGAAAATTCAGTGTTGATAATGGTATTATGAAGAAGACAACTACAGTAACCATCACAAATTTAGTCACTCAAAATCATCATATTATCATCTATCATCAAAGTACTTTATGGCAGTGGGGTTTTAAGTACATCATTTTGAAGAGTCCAGGGATCTCAATTTTAATTAAAAAAATTCCCCAAACAAAGATGGGGTTCAAAAACTACAGCACTATTATAGTGTTACAATTTTGACAGAGAAAGCAGAGAATCTCATTACATGTATTAGAAACTCAAGATGAAATCGAGGTAGGCAGAATTAACTACCCAAACTAAAATTTAGACAGCAAACACATTTATACTATATGCTTAATAACTCAGGGTCATGACTTTTTAAACATTCTTTACCATACCTAGTATATGATCATAATTCAATAAATGTGGTAATAATCAGAGTTAGCATCTGTGACCTTTCGTAAAATACATTGTATAATCATTTCTGAACATAAATTCACTATACATGCATGTTTCAGTATGTGTGTACATAAATGTATGTATGAATGAAATTCTGTAACATTTATTTGTTTTGAAGGGGTGCTGTGGAAGCTCAAGATTTCAAGCTATCTAGGTAGGTGCTCTACAAATTGAGTTGTACCTCCAGATCTCAGTAATATTTTTATCTTTAATTTACTTTATATACATATGTTTGTATATATTAAACATATATAACATGTCTGTGTTTTGGGGTACATGAGTGTAAGGTTGAAATGAGCAAGCACTGATTAGTTGAAGCATTCCTATTACAGGTATTCTAAATTTATCAGACCACACTTATAATTTGAGAGTAGAAAGAAATAATTTAGGTTCTATTGAACCTTACCTCTATAAATTAGGTCTTAAAGATATATAATTGGAAAGGAGATTATTAGTCCTGGAGCCAGTACAATAAATAAACATTTTTTCAAAATCTGGGAATTGTAAACTGGTGTTTTCTTCACTTTCTTTGTTTTTTTTTCTTTCCATTTTTAAAGAAATAATTTGAGGTGATATTGGTTGCCTCTTAGTCTGAGTGTTCCTGGCATAGAGTAGGTGGGTGAAAATAACTCAGCGGCCCCCTTTTTGTTTACCAAGAAGTGCAGTGGTTAGCATAGGGCAAGGTACAAGAGTAAATCCACTTTCAGAGGGGTATGCCTGTTTACATTGACAAAACCCAGATATGGCTCCTGGGCTGAAAGGGAATTTAATTCTCACTGGTTTGGTTTAAGAACTCTCAGTTGATGAAGATAACACACAAAGAGCTTTTCCTTTGCTTCTCAAGCAGTTACACACATAAGAAAACAAATTATACCCCTACTTTTCTTAAATTGAGAAATGTTGAGCAATATTTTCTGAAAGCATTTAATTTAACCAGAAAGACATTCACTAAAAGCTTTACCTCATAGAAAACAATTATGTGGGTGAAATGTAGGGGCTAAACGTCATATGTTTATTTTAAAATATAATCAATTATTTGGAAATGATTAAGTTTAGCCTGGATTAATGACTTATTTCAATTACTGAGATATAAAACCTTAATGTTGAGTACAGTTCTGGAGACTCTAATTACATTAGTATTAAAAATGCCATATTAATAGATGAGAAGATATGTTACACTTTTAAAGGCCTTCTGTTATGTCCTTGGAGAGGTAAATAAAATTAATTACATTTCTACTGGGAGAAAGTTTAATATAGTAGGAAAATATCACTGAGGATAGAATGTTGGAGTAGAAATTTCAAATAAAACATGGGTAGCCATATCCGCAAGCTCATTCCTACTTCTAGTTAGTGAGTACAACTACAGAGAAGTAGATGGTGAAAATCTCCATCTGGGGCCCACATGATCACCTCACGTGTGGGCAAGAGAATCATGCTTTCTTCTATTCCAAACACTCTTATTATCTTGGCTCCATGCTCTATGTTATTGTTAACTGTACGTATTTTTGATTCATAATGTACTATACGTAAAATATACATCCTGACAACCACATAGGATATCCGTGGAAAGTTTTGTATGGCTTTTTGAAGTCTATTCTTTGAAGAAACTCTATTAGTTGAAACAAACTTATTTATGAAAGAGGGGCTTTTTTATTCTTCTATACTAGACATATTTAAAATGAATAAACATATCATTTCCTCACTGAAAGGCCTGCAGATTAAAGTTATGTAAATATTTATTAGAACTGGTGTGCCGTCATTTAGTAAACTAGACAAACTTAAACAGCTAAATCCGTCCCAGTATCTGGCAATGAAGAGAACATTGGAAGCAAAATGTTTTTTTTTTTTTAATGCCCATGTCATTTTCTTCTAAGTATTTCATATATCTTAATATATGTAGTTGAGTATTTTCAAAATAATTTTATTCATGTGGTAACTTGAAATGCATATTACTAGGACAAAGTTGAACACCATGGTCCAGTCAATAACATGAATGGATTTAGTTGGGATACGTTGAATTTTAGAAAGAAATATTGATATCTGAGTGTTTGATGTCCCTCTCTTGCAGACTGCAAAAACAAAAGGCCTACCTGGATATTAGTCAGAAGGGTCTCTATGGAAGACAATCCATCAGGAAACAGGAAAGGAGATGGAAAACCTGGAGGTAGCGGTTGTCCGTGCCCAGTTAGAGAAAGTTTGTCAAGGCTGTCTCTTGCAGTTGGTGTAGAAAGCGGGGTCTCATCTGTATGTGATTGAAACAAAAATATAGAACAAGTTACGCTTGTCTGTTTTTATTAGACCTCAGTAATGGCTTCCCTAGTGGTTTCCAGAACATTTATTGCAAATTGGTTCCTGCTATCAGGAGAAAATGCTTTCTGCTGAATTTTCTTTAATGAAAAAGCTGTGGAGATACAACAAGATAACATTAATGAGTAACTTTATAAGCCTTTTAAATGCAGTCTCTAATGAGACTGAGTTTACAGTGCCATAGAATCTTTTTAAAACAAATATTATCTCATATATAGTTGTGATAATATATTCAGGCTGACTTTATGGGCACCTTCCCAATTATCTCATTTTAGTTTGTGCTGTTTGGATTGACAATAGAATATTTCTAGGGCCTCATGTAAAAGAAGTGCTTTGCATATTAGAATGTTTTCTTTTCTTAACTAATCTTTTTATGTTAAGAATATTTCCAAATATATTCTTAAGAACTTAAAAACAACTTAGAATTACAATATTTCATTTCAGAGTTAAAAAGTAGAATCTAAATATATTTTTTTCATAAAGTATAACCAAATTATTCATTACCATTAAATCATGAGACCTTGAACTTCAAGTCCTTTTGAACTTCAGCATATTTTGCTTTTATAGTGAAAACCTACAATTGTTTACAAAATGAAAAGGTTCTGAAGAAAGAGTAATAAAACAGAAGTTCCAAGCAATAATTAGGAAACTAAATTAATAACAAAAATAAATTAGCATTTACTATACTTGTTGAATACACCTCCACATTCAAAGCAATTTAGAATAAGGCCAAAATGAATACTTATACTTTGGCACTGAAATCTTTCTACCTGATTATTGTTTAACCATTTTGTAATTTCCAATGAGACAGATACAAGCTGTGGCTTATTTTAGTTTATTGAAATCAAAGTGAAAAATGTATTCAGGGCAGGATTCTCAATTTTATAAATATCTTCATATTTTACCCCAGGAAAATTAATCAGAATAATGTATTTGCATAGTACTGATACTATCTCTCAATTTTGCAAGTGGATAAAACCTCCAACACATTTGCCTTATGACTATAATTTGAATTCACTGTTCTTCATGATCATTCTTTCATATTTCATTACCACACCCAACTACTCAACATGTTTTCCAATTAGCTCTATCTGGGAAGAACTGTTATAGAAACTCTTATACTTTCTTATCCCTCACTATTGTCAGAACAGGTTAAATTCATCTCCTTCATCTTTCCACACTTGTAGTTAATGAACTGAAAGTAAAGGAAGGTTGGAAAAGGAAGTAAGAACACAGACTTCTTATTAACTATGCGTCTCACTTTTACTCACTCACTCCTCTGCAGTTTCTCCTTCCATTCCCTCCTCTGTGAACTTACTGGCAAAGGAGACTGGAAAAATAGTAAGTGATTAAAGCAGATAGGATGTATTTAGTATATTTTGTTCATTATACTTGTGATCATGATTAGAAAAGACCTTAGACAAGTATATGGCTACTCCATGGCTAGCTGGAGCTAGGTGATTTTGAATGCCATTTGCCTAGCTGTCATAAATTACTCCACTAGACCAAGGTTGCTAGTGTTTTCTCATAATAGCTCTGAGAAGACACTTGTTAAACATCTATGTGCATGTGAAATTGTTTAAGAATGGGGAGCAATATTTTTGATCAGCATCACCTTAGCTGTCACATGCTAAAGAAAATGTGGCTTAATAGATCATGTTGATAATAATTGCTTGTCTTTTGAAGAAAGGCATAGACCAGATGACCACCTGAGGTTGTGTTCTGCTTTATCATCTATGAAGTCTGAATTCTTAAATACTGCCCAAGGATAAAAGGATTAAATGTATGGATACAGGAATAAATACACATACACATACATTTGAATATAAATTCTATCACTCCCATGATTATTTATTGAATGCATTTGTGAGTGTCTATAATTGGCTTTCGTGAGCATTGGTCTTTAAATCATCATTATGCCTACATTCAGGTAGCCAGTAATTCCTGAAAATAATGAATGGGAGCACAAAGTAAATATGCACTATGTAAAAGTCTTGAAAACTCACATTGACTACAGAGATTCCCAGGATTAAGCAGACAATTCTTATACATAGTAAAACACTTTTCCCTCCACTATTAGTCATTAGACACTGTTTATCTTAGTCAGGGATTAAATCATTCTTGTGTGTGGGGAAGTGTATGTGTATGTATGTTCATGTGTGATATTTTTTTCTCTGTTGTTTCATGCAATGCCATATTGGTCCAACAATCCTAGCTATATGACAATGGACTCTAATTTGATACAAATTTGTTTATTTTACTGATTTATTAATATTTCTATGGTGGAAATACAACATCAAGCTTTTAATATAGATAAGGAACAAATTTAGAGAAAAATGACTACTTAAAACTGGAAGAAAAGGAATAATTTTTAGGATCAATGCACACTTTTCAAAAGAAGGTGGACTGTAAAGATTTAGAAAACGGCTCTTTGTTTTCAAATAAAAGGGATCTTTTGATATTCTAAATGTTACAGGAGGATTACAACAAAGTTTGAAAAGTCTGAGAATGTGGTAGTTTTGATATCACATAATTTCTGTTGACTTCAAAAGTGGGTGCTGTGATAAAATATACATTCACAAAATACCTTCCATTTGGAGCCTGAGTACAGACTTGTAAGAGTTTATCTCTAACAGAATGTTGGCTATCCAGATGTCATGATTTTAGATTATTATATCAGTTGTCAATGTAATCCATGAATTTTTATTTTTTATTAAATTAAAAGAAAACTTAAAAGAACTATCCAGGGAGTTCCTTTATACTGCTCACTTGGGTTGAAAGGAGACCATTGTATATATTCATATCCAATTCTAGAAATCTAATAATGTTACTTGATTTGAGAAAAGCTTTTTGTTAAGGATATAATTAAGAATCTTAAGATGGGTCTGGGAAGGTGGCTCAGTAGTAGAGTGCTTGTCTTGCATGCATGAGGCCCTGGGTTCAATTCCTCAGCACCACATAAGCAGAAAAGGCTGGAAGTGGTGCTGTGGCTCAAGTGGTAGAGCTTGAGTTGAAGAGCTGAGGGACAGTGCCCAGGCCCAGAGTTCAGGCCCCATGACTGACAAAAAAAAAAAAAAAGATGAGTTCATCCTGATTTAGGATGAGCTCTAAATTCAATGACAACTAGCCTTGTAATGCAAAGGCAAAAGAGATTTGAAGGGAAGAAAAGACACAATAATGAAGGAGAAAAAAATGAAAGAAAGGTAACCACTGTGAAGTAAGTTAGGTAGCCCTCAGAAGTTTCAAGTTGCTACCAAACTGTTATTTTTAAATTCATAAAGATTTTTAACTGAGTCTACAAAGAACAGCATGGGTTTAAAGCAAAATCTGAACATGTTAAAATTTAGCAAATGATTTCTTTTCTAGGAAAGTTTATTAATATTGTCAATAATTATATAATAATGGTACAATAAATATATCCACAATTATAAGAACATATAATGAACAGGAATAATATAGACAGTAAGGGAAAGCACAACTTTATCTTATAAAATGATTAAAAGAGTAAAGGATAAAAATATGATAGTTCATTCTCTTCATCACTTCATGTCATGTATTACTTATATTTTAAGTCACTTTTCTCATAAATGAACATCAATAAGTAAGATTGATGCCTCTGAAAGACAAACTATTTTCCCCTCCAATCTTATCACACATAACAATTCAGCAGGATATCCTAAGGAACAGTTTTGTTTAAACCAGTAATGGGCTTCTACTTTTAAAATGTTTTCTTTCCTGTTAATAAAATCTAACTCAGTTGTTATTTTCATAAGTATTCCCTTTGGATTTGAATTATATGTTCTTTCAAGTGCATGTGTGTGAATCCCTATTGGTTTTCATTAAATTGTGAATTCCAAGAAGAAAATACTCATTTTCTTTTAGAAATACATCCATTTCAAAGAGATTCAAATTACTCATGTCAGTATGAAAAAAGTAATATTGTTAATAAATAGAAATTTTCTACATTTAATGGTTATGGCAAAGCAAAGAATTAGCTTAAATCTGTATGTCTATGTTGGTACTGTGAAGGATATAGAAATATTTGAAAACATGGTACTTTCTAGTAAGAAGTGAATAATTAGTAATAAAAATATAAACTTTGTTTTGATAAATTTCCATCATGAATGTATAGAAGTACATGTTTATATGAGTTTCTGTAAACTCTGGAAGCAAATTATATAACTGAAGTGCATGAGTAATCTAAAATTAAATATTGGTGCTTACAGGAAGTCATTTGAAAATTATATCCAGACATAAGGCACATAGATGATTATCCTGAACTCAGTCATAATCCCAATGCTGTCTTATCCTTATTCTAGGCACTCTGAGTTTAATATTGGGAAAAATAGTAATAAATTTAAATGTTATGAACCCAGAACATAATCTTAGGTCAGGAAATGGTCACAAATTTATTTTTCTACTGTCAACTTCTTAGAAAAGAAGGAAATATGAAGTGTTGCATTCAAATTTATAGGCAAGACTTCTATGAATCTTGCAGTGTATATAAAAAGCCTAGGAATACTGTGAAATAAGACTTACTATTTATATTTAATTTCAAGAACATTTCTCAAATTCCTATATAAAAGTGCTAGAGACCTTTTAGTAAAATTGATTACACAATCCTGTCTGCAGCACATTCATGCTAAATTTAAAAGCAAATCATCCTAGAGACAGAAAGTATAATTCTGGTCATGATTCTACCAAATTCCAGTGATTTTAGCGCAATTGGCTTAGTTATTTCAAAGGTTAGTATAGACAAAAAAAAACACTACAGTTTGAATCTAATTAAATTATACATGTAAACATTATAAAATATAAGGTATTATTTTAACATCAAGTATGAAGAAATAGTATATGGAACAACTAAGTCTATTATAAGTATCTCATTGGAAATTTGAATTCACTCTGGCATTAAGGAAATTCTCTTGGTCTTTA